AACGTTGAGGGCATATGGTGGGACGCTTGGGCCAAGGGTGCACTGAATCTGTAACAAGAAAATAAGAAAATAGCGTTTTGCTGGGACCTGGGATCGAACCCAGGTCCTCATGCTTCAAACCATCACCTTGTTGCCATATGTGCCACGCTGCTTATTTGTATATGTAATAATAATCAAACATTATATTAGGAAAAGCAAGCTAATAGATCAAAACGCGCAAAATTTAAATGGATGAATCACACCATGCCACGCCATCATCTTCCCCAGCATCCGTCGTCTTAGGTAAAACAACTTTTACCTACAGACTTTCTCTGTAGGTATAGCCCCTGTGATTTTCCAAAATCCACTGCGCGTATGATAAATCAATTCTAGTGGTACCAATCAACTTGTGGCAACCTCACGAGCATCATGGTACCACTCTTCATGGCCAATTGTCCCTGCAATCAAAACCCCTAAAAACGAAACCTAAACCCTAATCATGGCAAGTCTCTGTATGGCTAAAAAAATGCAATTGAATATTATCATTAGCTTGCAAATGTTTCACTGAACAAGAATATGTAAAGAATTCATGCTACAAATGCCAGAATAGTAATATTGAATTTCAAGAAAGTAAGGATATCGTGAGGTGCTTACAGTGTGTTTCTGGGCACGAATGTTCTTGCTAATGATTGGGATAGACTCCTTGAATATCCAGCAAGTGAATGGCGTGCTTGGAATAGCTTGAAAGTGCCTGGAACTATGAAATCAGATTGCCACTTTCCTTGAGTTTTTGCAAATTCTTTCTCAGCTTCTCACGCCTCTAACCCTTGTGCTTTTGGTTTGGATTTGTTCTATATGTACCCTTGAGTGAATTAGGTTTACAAGTTTGCATCAAATCTTTTTCAATTAAGGTGATTGAATCATGATTTGATTCTTATTCAAATCTTTCTAAATCAAGCAAAACTCCATATTTTTGTGTACAAACAAGCCTTGCGCGATTTGATCCCATTTCCAGCTATTCATGGACCTGAAATATGCACAAAATCTCAAGGTTTAAATGATTTTGATATTTTCATGATTTTATTTTGATTTAATTTGATTTAAATGAAATAAAAATCAAAATAAATGACAAAAATAAAATAAAGGCAAGTGGGATGGATCATGGGTCGTGGATCATGTTGTCAACTCAATGCAAGCACAAAAAGTTGGGCCCATTTGACAAAAATTGCAATTTGAGACATATTTGACTTTTGGCAATTTTGCAAAAAAGGTCAAATTCACCAATGCATAACTTCCTCAATTTTGACCCTAGAGGTGTGTTCTTGGACTTTTTAGAAATCTCAAGATGTCCTCTAAGCATCCCTTTTGGTCTCATCTCAATTGAGTCTTCCATGTTCATGTATGAAGCTTTGACAAAAAGGTGTTTTTGTTGACTTTTCAAAGTGACCTATAATGTCCAAATTTATATCTTCTTGTGTGTGAATTTTTTGAACTTTGGAGATGAAGATGGATTGTAGGTAATTGCATCCTATTCAAAATGAGCTTTGGATGGGTCATTTCTGATAAAGTATGAGAAAGTTATGCTTGGTCAAAGTTGAGTTAACTTTTCCTACAAAACCCTAATTTGGCAACTTTTGGGTTTTGATGAATTGTGAGCAATCCTTGAGGAATCATGATCAACCCTTGATCAAATGATGAATAATACTTCAAAATGAGAATGTTCACCAAAAATCTTGAAGTTTGACTGTATGTGGGCCACGGTTGACTTTTGCCCTAGCACAACTGATTTTCAGGCTTTTGAGCAATTGACTGAGCAAACTTTCTCTGCAAGGCTTGAAACTTGACATGGATGATATTGAGAATATATTAGTACAATGGTTATCATTTGAGACCATTTGGACTCAACCATCTTGATGTAACATGAAACCCTAATTTGAGGTAGACTGCCTTAGGAGAGGGTTTGTATGGTCAACCTTTAGACTACCGTGAGCAATTTGAGGACTCCATTTGACATGTATTGAGAAATATGAGAGGGAAAATTTTAGGGTACAACAGTAGGCACTAAAGGTTTGTAATCGCGGCGGGTGAAAAATTATAAAAAAATACTTCTTTTCCCATCTCCACCATCTATTTCTGTACACATCTTTTATAGCTAAAAGTACACAGGTTTTCAAAGAGGTTACTGCGGAATACCGTAGGTGTTTAGGATGTTAATACCTTCCTTTTGCATAACCAAACCTCGTACCTAGATTCTCCCCCTCTCTTTTGGGTTTATTCGCTCTTCTTTCATTTTATTTTGAAACAATAAAGCGCAGTGGCGATTTTTATTTGATATGTACGAGTTAAGTCAATCCAATGATTTAGTCTCAATATTTCTACCGCTACAGTGACCAAAAAGCTTTTTCCTACTGGAAAACTTTTGTTCTGCTTTTCCTGGGCCTCGCTTTTGGTTCGTTGGGCGAGCTCTCCCCGTGCTCTCCAGATGAGCTTTCTCACATTCCTCATCTTTGCTTTGTGCCTTCTTCTTTGCTTTGTGCCATCTTCTTTGGTGAATTGCAAGAATTTTCTACACACTAACAAATAAAACAAAGACACCACAACTAAATGCATTTAATGTTATATTCTAGCAACTTGGGGAATTCAATGATATAAAATGTTAAATGGCGCCTAAAAATGCCAAATTTTCATTTGAAATTATAGTCATAATTGACACTTATCGCAACACCATCTAGCGTAAAAGCCCAGTAGAATTTTGAGTAAAAACGCTTGGTTTTCCAAAAAGCGCAAGGAGGATCAATCTTTATAAAATTAATTTTGAATCAAATCTAATTATGCCATAAATATGAACTCCAATAACTTTAACAAATGATTCGGAATAAAATATTTACCAAAAAGAAGCATGTTATTAACCAGATCTCTTATTGAACCAAAAAGGAAACAAATAATATCGGAGTGAAAAAGAAACAATCAAGAAACGCGTGCCACGAAGCACTCGAGACAGAATGTCTCGAATAAAGTCAGAACATCTTGCTTAACATGTTGCGTACAAAAATATGGCAATCAAATGTTATAACATAACTAAAAAATAGAAAGTAGAAGAGATAAATTCAGATTTTGTTATTTGGGCTATGGTTCGGATTTCAAAATCCAGAATGCACAAAATCAAATTAGAAGAAGCAGAAACAGTACTTGCGGACCTTAAGCTCAAAACTTCAAAATTTTAAACCAAATTGAATTTTAATAATACAAATATGTCATATCTATTGCATATAACCTAATGCAGTATAACCATTGTTGAAATATTAGATTAGATTAGATTTAATATTTAATATAATTCAAGTTGTGTTAGTCCAAATCTAATTAGGGTTGTATATAAATAGTCATAGTGTGTATCATTATTTGTACAATTGAATAATACAAATTCTTATTTCCTTTATTATTCTCTCTTTCTCTCCTCACTAATAGTCATAGTTAGTGCGTGAGACACTTTTAGTGAGGAGAGAAAGAGAGAATAATAAAAGAAATAAAGATTTGTATTATTCAATTGTATAAATAATGATACACATTATGATTATTTATATACAACCCTAATTGAGTTTGGATTAACACAACTTAGATTATATTAAATATTAAATCTAAGCAAATTTAATCTAATCTAATTTAATATTTCAACACTAACAACCATAACCTATTTAGACAATGCATGCATCAACAATCAAAAGAGGAAGGAAATGAGAAACTTATCAAATGTGAGGGATGTGAGAGATGGATGCTCTTGAAGTGAATGTAATGGAGTAGAACTTAAGAAATGTGCTAAGCTTGAATATAGTGGATTAGTAGTTGTGAGAAAGCTTGAAAAACATTGGAACATGAGTAGGAAATTAGATATGTTTTAATTTTGTTGAAATGAAAGGGAAAGAAAAGGGAAAGGTTTAGTGCAATTACTTAAGTCAGGCGTATTTAGAGATCGATCTTCATAAAAAATTCAGAGATTGAATTCTATTTATTTTTTTTACTTTGTTTTGGCGTGGTTCTAATATTAAGGTTGGGTGTAGTGTGTTAAGACGCATCTAGAGTTAGGTTTAAGTGTGATATGTTAAGGCGCGTCTAGAGTTCAACCTCCATAATTTTTTTTAACTGGAGATTGAAATCCAAATTTATTTTAAAACTTTGATTTAGCGACAGAGAATTTGGTATATTTGAAATCCGAATTCTCAAAGTATTTTTTTAATTTTGTCGAGATACGCTAGTAAGTCATGGGTGTATTGAACAATCCCCATAATAACAACAACACATGAATGGATTAAAAACAGAATTTGGTATATTTGAAATCCGAATTCTCAAAGTATTTTTTTAATTTTGTCGAGATACGCTAGTAAGTCATGGGTGTATTGAATGATCCCCATAATAACAACAACACATGAATGGATTAAAAACACTCTCTTTTTAGTTTATGTTTGATAATTTTTCTTTGACTTAAATAATTTATTGGTCCCCGTAGGTTGGCGTGATCGTCCTTGTATTTTTTTTTTTTTGTTGAAATAATTCCTTAATGTTACAATCCTTTTTTGGTTTTATGTTCTATAAAATTAAAATTATATCACTCCCTCCTTTTAGTTTAAATTCAAATGAATTGCACTATTTAGAAAATGAGTCTCAGGATATTACGTGGATTTAAGAAAGGGTATGGAAAAAATTGTGTTCCTCACATTTTTATGGAATGGATTATAGATTTATAGCTTCTATGAAAAGTTAAACATGATCTGGACATAACTTGCGGAGCATTAGCAATGATCTATGGTCCTATTATTACAGATATATACAAGCTAGTTGATATTTCCTAGTTTAGGTTTGATACTTTACAAGATGTTAGATCAACAAAGAAAATATCCAAAACTACTTATATGATACCATTATAGAGAATCATGTCTTACACCTCTTTACTAATAATGCAACTTGACATCCGTAATAGCTAAAGATCAACAGCACATCCCAAACTCAATCTTAGATGCCTTCCATGGTTACAGAGATGAAGCTTTAACAAAACTAGAAAATATAGAGGTGCCATCCTTCAGAAGAATCTGTGGATTTCCTTGTTCAGCCTTGAAAAGATGGAAGAAAGAAGAAGAAAACTGACGTTACTTCACGCTGGTTATTAACTTGAGCCTCAAGGGAACTTTTGAATGATAGGCCAATACACAAACATTGTATGAAACAAATACACATAGCACTTAACCAATGACATGTAACTCAATTTAGTTGCTTCTTCCATGAACTTGACTGATATGTTCTTATGAAAAGTTGAAGAATTTAATTTTATAAAATAAATTAAGAAAACGAATTCAAACATAAACTATAGTAGATGAACTAAAAGTACAAGAAAGACAAGAAAATAAAACATACCAGGTTCCCATGATCAAGAATTAAAATGTTGTCCATATTTATGACAGTTGAAATCCGGTGAGCAATTGTGACCACCGTCATTCCTTTGCATTCTCCGGATATAGTTTTTTGCAGCAGTGAAGCAGTTTGAATGTCCACACTGGCAGTGCATTCATCCAAACAAAGAACCTAAGCGCATCACAATAATATACTGCTCAGATTTGGAAGAGGCATATCATATTATGTTGAGATACTTTCATTCATAGTATCTAGAAATGTGTTTCTTTGTATCATTGAATGATGGAATGAGCTATAATGAAGCCGTTGCTGAAGAAGATACTATCAGCATCAACAATTTAAACCATGAAGAAAAATATATTGTACAATCGTTCTTACTTTCGAAGATCTAAGAAGTGCCCGTGCAAGGCAAAGAAGCTGCCTTTGGCCAACTGAAAATGACATTCCCCCTTCCTTTACAAGAATATCCAACCCTCCACCTACTTCTACTTCCTCTTTCACATGACACTTCTCCAGTGCATCCCAAATTTTCGAGTCATCATTCATTTTGAATGGATCTAGGTTATCCCTACAATTTTGAAGATGTTCAAGATACAGGATATCAAGAAAACATGAAGTATTGGGGCAATCAAACTAAATGCTAAGATGGTATGAATATTATAATATGCTAAACTTGAGTACCTTAATAGTCCTTCAAACAAGAATGGACTCTGAGGAACAATAGCCAAATGGGCGCGTAGTTCTCTCACAGGAATATTTTGAATATCCATGCCATCAACTGTGATGGAGCCTGCACATATTGGGGTAAGACGGAAAAGGGAATTTAACACACTAGACTTTCCAGCACCTGTTCTTCCGATTATTCCAACCTGATTACATGCCATGTATATGCATTAGACATAGCTGTTCTATATAATTCGAGACTAGAAGAAAACGGAACAAATTCAAGTATCATGCACTACCTGTGTTCCTCCTTCAATTTTAAAACTGAGATTGCAGAGTGCAGGTGGTAAAGATGGCATATATTTCAAAGTAACATGTTGGAATTCAATAACTCCTTGATTTGGCCAATCTGGATTCAAGTATAGAGATCCAGCTTGTTCTTCTTGAGGAATGTCCATATACTAGAAAACATTTAATGTCTGTTAAGTATCGGAATCTATATGTCCTAACATGTTTCTACTAAGAGAGATAATAAGTCTATTTCATACTTGAAGTGCTCTTTCAATTGAAACCATCTCCTTCTCTGTTTCAGTAAAACTTGTTAGAAAACTCCCCAGCAGGGACACAATTGGAGCTGCGTAAGAGAGGGCCAATCCAACCTGTTGAAAAACAATTAAAATGTGCCATGTTCAATTTTTGTATTAGTCAGTTAATCAAGTTTGATATTTGATATAATCATCTAAAGGAAAAGAAACAAACCAGTCCGGGGGTACCAAAGCTGATAGGCAGACTGCCTTGAGATCCGACAACAGCCATCAGGGCTATGAATGAGATTATAAATGCAGCTAATAACTGAAAGAAAACCATTACTAGCAACAGCTGATGCTCCAAGTTTCGTAAGTTCAAATCTAATACTATTGATCAATAAATTTTGAGAAGTGTAAACTTTTAGGTAAATTGCCATATTTTCTTTGATTAAAATCCAGTAAACACAAAAGAAAGCCACGGATTTCCATATTTTCTTTGATTGAAATAGAAAGCCACAGATTTCCATATTTTCTTTGATTGAAATACCAGTAAACTCAAAAGAAAGGCTCAGACCTGAAGACGCAAGGAAAGCCACAGACTTGCCACTGTTTCTGTATAGGAAGTCTTCTGATATAACGTTATGTGGTCACTAAATTTGGTAAAGAAAAAGTCCTGTCCACAATGACCATTGTACAAGAGTTAACTAGTTGCACAAAATTTAAGAAAACGATGCTCTGAGAAGACCAAAGAAACAAAACTTCAAAAGAAACAAAATTCCCCCTAATCAAAATAAGAACAAAGAATTGTATTAAAACTTATTGACACATTCCATGATTGAATTCTTACCATGAAGTAAATGGATGATTCTAAGTACTTATTCTACAAAAGTAAACAAATTAACAAAAGAACTAAAACAAGCCTTTCATAGAAAGGTCATCGAAAATCTCCAGTTTGGCTATTTTTATAACAACTATCAGTCCAAGTTACATTCACAATAACTTAAACTAGTTTGTGTCGATCACCCTACAACATTCCTTTCCTTTGACAATAACAAACATTGAAAGGAGGCGGGAACTGCTAGTTTGTTGTTTCTCATTTGATTTCTTTGGGGAGGATATAGTGACTTCCTTTTTATGCTTCCCCATTCTTACTTTATAGAAGAGACTTTTTTTTATTCAAATAGTAAAACATTAAGCCTCCAGCCAGGTCTAAGTCTTTGGTTATGGATAAAGAACTTTTATAAAAAAATTCAGAGTTAAAGTGGGTTTTTTTAACACACAATATAATAATCTGTACCAGTGGGCCCATTTCATACACCAGTTTTGTTAGAACAATGTTTGAATCTAGTACCCTATAATTAAGTTTTGATGATAACAAAGTGAAAAGATATAGTAGTTAAATATTTCATGATTGAATTGTATGCTACTTAAAATTACTATGCTCTGACTTGCAGATATGCTGATTAAAATAAGCAAGATCACGTTCTCAGCATCAGAATATGAGTTTGCACACCAGCATCAGAAGTTGCTGAATCAGAAAGTCAAGATCAGATGATCAACGCTTGCACATGCTGAAGCTTGATGAACAGAACTGCGCGTAAAATACTCTGATACAGAATCAAATCAGTTCATCAGCAGCAAAGCAGAATCAGAATGAGCCAAGCCAGAACGTGCATTGAAGAAGCAACGGTACTGTGCATTGAAAGCTAATCAATACCAACGGCATCATTCTAGACAAGATCTGCTCAGAAAGGAAAGCTTGTTAATAGCATTGAATCAAGAATATTTGCTTCAACGTTCATCTTCTCAAGTGCTATATAAACCAAGCTTTGAAGATTATAATGGCTAATGCTTCCAAACTCTCTACACGCACAAAGCTGATCAATAATCTTCAATCTCCAAGTTTTGCTAAACCACCAAACTCTGATACTCTATTAGCGTTTAGCAACTTAGTATTCTAAGCTTCATTTGTGTAAAAATCACAGTTGTGATATAGTTTTTGTAGAAAACATTCATACACACTTGTTCATTCCTTTGTAAGAAAGTGTTGCCTTGACAAACCGGATTGTGGTTTGAATCAAGAAGGTTTTAGCAGTTGCTAAAGCAGATTTGTATTCAGTTGAATATAGTGAATTAAGACCTCGTTGGAGAGAGGCGAAATCACCTTGAACGGGTGGACTGGAGTAGTTTGAGATCAAACGAATCAGGATAAAAATACCTTGTCATTTGCTTTAAGTTTCCAGTTTTACAATTCAACCCCCCCCTTCTTGTGTTTTTCACCCCTTCAATTGGTATCAGAGCGCCTGGTTCTGAGCTAAAACACTTAACCGTGTCAGTAAAAGATCCAGCGTCAGAAAAACACTATGGCAGGAAACAACTCTCATTTCAGCAATGACAACAATGAGGATAGAGACAGATTCAGCGGCAAACCTCCAGTCTTTGATGGAGAAAACTTTGACTACTGGAAAGACAGAATTGAAAGCTTCTTTCTAGCACATGATGCTGATCTGTGGGATATGGTGACAGATGGATACACGCACCCTGTTAATGCAACTGATCAGAAGATTGATAGAAAATCAATGACTGATCAACAAAAGCGTGATTTCAAGAATCACCATAAGGCCAGAACCATCCTTCTCAGTGCTATCTCCTATACTGAGTATGAGAAGATCTCCAACAGAGACACAGCTAAGAACATCTTTGATTCTCTCAGAATGACGCATGAGGGCAACGTTCAAGTCAAGGAAACAAAGGCTCTGGCGCTCATTCAGAAGTATGAGGCGTTTAAAATGGAAGAATCTGAATCCATTGAAACTATGTTCTCTAGATTCCAGATTCTGGTAGCTGGTCTCAAAGTTCTGGACAAGGGGTACTCTACTGCTGACCATGTCAAGAAGATAATCAGAAGTTTACCCAAGCAGTGGAGGCCTATGGTTACTGCTCTGAAGCTGGCGAAAGATCTCAACAAAATCACTCTGGAGGAACTTATAAGCTCCCTCAGAAGTCATGAGATAGAGCTGGAAGCTGACGAGCCTCAGAAGCAAGGTAAGCCTATAGCTTTAAAATCTAACAGAAAATCTGAATCTAAAGTTTTGCAGGCAGTTGAAGAAACATCTGATGGATCCTCATCAGAAGAAGACGAGCTTTCTCTTCTCTCCAGAAGAGTAAACCAACTGTGGAAGCAAAGACAAAAGAAGTTCAGGAATCCCAGAAGATCTGATCATAACGAGTCTTCTTCCAGACATAGAAGGACAGATTCTTCCTCTGGATACAGAAGATCTGAAGGCTCCTCAGGTAGCAAGAAGCCAAATACAAAAGACATCATCTGCTACGAGTGCAATGAGCAAGGACACTACAAGAGTGACTGTCCAAAGCTTCAGAGGGAAAAGCCAAAAAGGAAGTTTGGAAGAGAGAAGAAGAAAAGTCTCATGGCCACATGGGATGACTCTGACTCGTCTGAAGCTGACTCAGAATCAGATGATGAAAGGGCGAACATAGCGCTTATGGCTAACATTCCAGATGACAGTGAAGCTTCTGACTCAGACTCAGAATCAGACACAGAAGAGGTATTCCCTAACTTCGCTGTTAATTTTACAAAGGCTGAACTTGCTGAAAGCCTAAATGAAATTCTGGAACGTTATCAGCAGATTAGAGCTAAATTCAGAGACCTGAAAAGGACTCTTGAATCTGACTCTAATAAGTCTGAGAGTCTCAGATTGGAAAACTCTGAGCTGAGAGATAAAATTTTAAAATTAGAAAACTCTTTACAAAACTCTCAGAAGGAACCAATTGCTGAAACTCCCAGCAACGCTGATGAGATCATCAAGGAGTATGATCATAGTTTCCAGAAGTTCCTTGCTAAAAGCATAGATAGAAGCAGAATGGCTTCAATGATCTATGGAGTTAGCGGAAACGGCAGGAAAGGAATAGGATACCTAGGTAAGGTTCCTACACCTAAAAATGTCATGGATTTAGTTATTAAACACACTCCTATAAATTCACACTTTGTGTATGGTCACACACATGACATCAAATATACTAGTAGTAATCACTTTGTGAAACCAAAATTCAATCAGAGTTTTGGTAAAACTAACAAATCAGGACCCAAGAAGATCTGGGTACCTAAGGATAAAATAATACATGTTGCAGATATCTTTAGCAGCAAGTCAGAAACACCAGTCATGGTACCTGGACTCTGGCTGCTCACGTCACATGACGGGAAGAAGGCATATGTTCCAAAGCCTGGAACTTAAGCCTGGAGGCCACGTTGGCTTTGGAGGCAATCAGAGGGGAAAGATAATTGGCTCTGGAACTGTAGGTAACGGAAATCTTCCCTCTATTAATAATGTTCTGCTTGTTGATGGATTGATGCATAACCTGTTATCCATAAGTCAATTAAGTGATAACGGTTATGATATAATCTTTAATCAAAAATCATGTAAAGCTGTTAGTCAGAAAGATGGGACTATCCTATTTAATGGTAAGAGGAAAAACAACATTTACAAAATCAAACTTTCTGAACTTAAGAGTCAGAACGTAAAATGTCTTCTGTCTGTTAACAACGAGCAGTGGATCTGGCACAGAAGATTGGGGCATGTTAGTATGAGAAGAATATCTCAGATTAACAAACTCAATCTGGTCAGAGGACTTCCAAATTTGAAGTTCAATTCAGATGCTCTGTGTGAAGCATGTCAGAAAGGCAAATTTGCAAAACCATCTTTTAAATCCAAAAATGTTGTTTCTACCTCTAAGCCATTAGAACTTCTGCACATTGACTTATTTGGACCAGTTAAGACTGCTTCTGTCAGTGGCAAGAAGTATGGGTTAGTAATCGTAGATGACTATAGCAGATGGACATGGGTAAAGTTCTTAAGACACAAGGACGAGTCACACTCTGTGTTTGTTACCTTCTGCAACCAAGTTCAGAATGAAAAAGATCTTAGAATCGTTAAAGTCAGAAGTGATCATGGTGGAGAATTTGAAAATAAAGATTTTGAGTCATTCTTTAATGACAAAGGCATTCTGCATGATTTCTCTTGTCCTAGAACTCCCCAACAAAATGGAGTTGTAGAACGAAAGAACAGAACATTGCAAGAAATGGCCAGAACCATGATCAACGAGACAAACGTTGCTAAGACTTTCTGGGCAGAGGCAATAAACACAGCGTGCTACATTCAGAATAGAATCTCAATAAGACCTATTCTGGAAAAGACTCCATATGAATTGTGGAAGAACAGAAAGCCCAACATTTCGTACTTTCATCCATTTGGATGTACTTGCTATATGTTAAATACTAAGAATTATTTGAACAAGTTTGATTCTAAGGCACAGAAGTGTATTATGTTAGGATACTCTGAACGCTCAAGAGGGTACAGAGTATACAATACAGAAACACAGATTGTGGAAGAATCAATCAGTGTTCGTTTTGATGACAAGCTTGACTCTGAAAAGTCAAAGCAGAATGAAAATCTTGCAGGTATAGAAATTGAATTTGCAGGTTCTGAAGACAAGTCATCAGAAGCTCTCAACACAGACATTCCTTCAACGTCTGAAAGAAGCAATGCTAGAAATCCTACAACTGCTGCTGATCAACCTCAGAAGAGAGTACCCAGAAGCAGTTTGGATCACCCAGAAGAATCTATTCTAGGAAGAAAGGAAGATCCAATCAGAACA